AAAAGGTTAAAATATTACTGAAATATATTATAAGTTATACCTAAGAACTTTCAGTTCATTACTTTAAAGAAGTCGTTTTTGCTTTGTTTTTATAATATAACTATTTATAATTAATGTTACCATTATTTCCCGGGAATTACTTAACAAGAAATACTAATTAAAGAATTTTTGTTTGTTTGTTAGACAATAATTTAGGCTCAGTCATCATACTAACACTAATCAAACCATAATAATTGCGAAATTTGAATGTTTGCGCCTCAATCACGCCAAAAGTATCAGACAGTTTGAATGTAATAATTTGGCACACTAATAGCCTTTTATTACCTGAATTAACATACAGGATACTTTTTATCCCCGAGGTCCCGAGGTATAGAATAAGAAATTCCGTAATAATAGAATTTCATGAGAAAAACATATGAAAATAACACACTCACCTCACTAAAGTTGCAATGACAACTGATATAGTTTATATTACTCTGCTCTATATTAGAAAGATTTTATTCAAATGACGAGTTCCCGCCTTATCCGACCCATCGCCTTTCCTTCATATACCTACTTCAGTCTATTTTCTACGCCGCGTGAGCGCTAGAGACCACTACATATATAAAAAATAAGCATAGCATAAACACTCACGCCTGTCACCCAGAGGAGTAGGCAGAGACCATGGACTTCCATTTGACACAATCCTGACATACCTCTTTCGCCTCCTTTACATCCATATATCTACGCATACATGCTCGTCGGTTAAGGGTACTTTTAACGTGGCCCATTTTCAAAATATCGCCAATTTGGTCGATAAACTTTTTTCTAGGGCGTCCCTTCCCGACTCTGCCGTTCACATCTGCCATATAAATTTGTTTTGTCACTCTTTCCTCATTCATTCTTTCCACATGACCAAACCACCGAAGCATTCCTTTCTTAATCCTGGTCACAACATCATCTTGCATACCACATTTATTTCTTATCATGCAATTTCTCACCCTGTCATTCAGATTCAACCCTAGCATACTCCTTAAAAACCGCACTTCTACAGCATTTATTCTACTTTCGTGCTTCTTCTGCCACACCCAGCTTTCACTACCATACATTAAAGTAGGGACTAACACAGCATTATGAATTACCATACGTGCCTTTTTTGATACATTCTGGTTCTTCACAATAGAGTGTAGTGCCCCATTCACTCTATTCCCTGCATTTACTCGTCGTTCTGTATCGTTATCATATCTACAATCCCTGCTAAATACACATCCCAAATACACAAACTCATCCACTTGCTCAATTAACTCTCCTTCTATTCTTATTTCACATATCGTTTTGCTTTCCTCTCTTTCAAAAATCATCACTTTCGTCTTACTTGGGGTCTACTCGGACTGGTTTGGCATCCGAAAGGGTGTCAGACAGGGCTGTGTGGCTTCCCCTTGGCTGTTCAACCTATTTATGGACAGGTGTTTGCAAACTTTGAAAGATGAAGAATGTGGGTTAAGAATGGGCGAGTTAACCGTCAAATGTCATTTGCTTATATTTTGTCTCGTAACAATTTATAATGTGTTCACGTGTCGTTCACGTGAAAAATAAAGTAGTCAGAAGTAACTAAAATGAAATGTAAAGCGTTAGTTTTCAACACAAACTAATAAGAAGTGCTAGCGCAGTTTTCACTATAAATCATGTAAAAAAAAAAAACACAAATTATTATATACTACAATGTCCAATGTGCGAAATTTACGTTTTGTGTTATAATTCTGATATACCGTGAATATTATGACAAAGTTGTTTTCAATAAAAATAGCATTGGTCAAAGATAGCGTAATAAAGTATATACCTATGATTGATTATTTATTTATTAGGGGGACATACTGAGTACATATGAGTATATACAGAATATATACATTACGATATCGATTAATTATATTGCATATTTTTATTTTGTTATTATAATATTTTGATTTACAATTATTTTTGCGTCGGTATCTTTGCATGTGTCCTACTGTCGGATTTTGCCGTCACGTTTTTTTTTAAATAATAGTAGTTAGTTATTCATCTAACTTACACATACCTTGTTACTGTGTAATAAGGTGCGGTACGGTCTACTGCAATGGTATATCAAAAATAGTAATTAGAATGGTATTTATAACAGTCACGTTTGTAGCTTAGGTGAGGAAGGTCATAAAAAATCGACTACTGAAATAAAACAATAATATCTAAATCTAAAATCCATATTTAAATCCACGTTATAAGTCGTTCTAATATTCCACGTAGTTATGCAAGATGACAAGGTTCCGGTAATTTTTCACTATTACTTTTTTGTAACTGGAACGATGGTCACGGTTATTTAAAAATAACACTTTCCACCGAGTATAGTCGCCTCTTACGACACCCACGGGATGATATGGATATTCGTACACCGCCACAACACGGTAATGGATAATTTCTCAAAACATTTTATTTGTCAACAACATCTTTCAATCGTCATTTTTCTAGCGCTCACTTGACCTTTATACAAATAATTCGATATTTTAATTGTTGATAATTTTTATTTTTGGATAAGAACATGGTAATGACTACAAGTTGTTTACCTTCATTTAAAAAAAATATTGTCATTGGCCTCACCTACTATACTCATTGGCTTGACCATAGGTCTGACTAATTGGTCCAATACACTGTCGGGACGTGAACAGTGAAAATTGTACTAAATTGTTACGAATTTTGAAGGACTAGTCTGATCTATATAAAGACGTAGTAGAAAAGGATAGACAGGACAAACTAACATTATTGTACTTTAAAGTGGCGCAGGTAGTACTATATCTACGTACAGTTATTTATTATGACAAGTTGCGCTAACAAAAATAGACAAATGCTAAGACAAAAATGATACCTATCGTTAGAAAAAGATGAATATACATCAAAGTTACATATTGATTGCTGCTGAGCGCTCATTGCTGCGAGCGCGTGGCTCACCGGTACGCAGGATAGGGACAGTGAACATACCAGCTGGCGCCAGAGTTTAGACTAGCGGTTAGTATTGAAATAATAAAAACAATTATGAACAAAACATCTGTATTTAAAATATTAATTATAAACAATCAAATTATGAAATAATATCGACTCTGTCAGAGAACTGTAAATGTAACTGTGGCGGCGCTGTCGTCGCGCCGCAAGCGAAACACACCGAAGCCTAAATCACGCTATCAAAATTCCGAATCATAAACAGTATATATAGAACATCTTCGAACTATCACACGGAGTGTTGGCCGCTTCCCGGGCAGAACACCCTGCCCTTTTCTCCCCTTTTCCTTCCACCGCCAAAGTGATGACCCCGAAAGCAGCATAAAAAATAATGAAGTAATATTTGTTTACTTTAATTACAGAAATTGCTGTTTTTTTCAGTCTTCTATATTGTTTTTTGAAATATAAACAACACTCGTCAGGAGATGTTCGGAGCACACAGTAGAATAAATAGTAGGCATCCATCCAATCACCTTCACGTCTTTGAATCCTAATTACTTTTAACCATTTTTCTTTCATTAATCCTTCTTTAGATAATCTAAAATAGAAGGAAATAAATTATAAATAATATTCTATTCGCTTCATTGTTCTCTAGAACGTATTATATAGTGTATCTAATATTAGAAAATAAGATAGACAAAAAAAAAACAAAATAAAGAATAAATTTAATTTTTAGTTCATCATGCATAATGTGAATGCCGAGTACCGGGACAAACTTGTGCCTGTAGTCGAATCTTTGCTGAACAAAGTCTCGGATTGGGAGCGACTAAATCTAGTCAAGTTAAATCCCCAGAAAACAAGTAAGCTCGTTTACCGCTAAAAAGAACCCCTATGTCGTATCTCTTCAGTTTCAAGGCACTCCCCTTACTGCCTCAGCTAGCATCGGAATCCTCGGCGTCGACATAACGAATAGTGTGCAGTTTCGTGGTCACTTAGAGGGTAAGGCCAAATTGGCTGCAGAGCGTGAGAATATTCCATACCGGCAAACGGCTTGACACAAACTTTACAAGGCGCAGGTTCAACTGCACATGGAAATACTGTTCCCATCTCTGGGCTGGGGCTCCCCAGTGCCAGCTACTTCCATTTGATCGCAGCCAGCGCAGAGCCGTTCGAATCGTCGGCGACCGAGCTCTTTCCGACCGCCTTCACTCACTAACACTCCGGAGACATGCGGCATCTCTTTGCGTTTTCTATCGCATCTAACATAGGGTGTTCTGAGGAACCGTTCGGATTAAGTCCAGCCGCCAAATATCACGAACGCACATAGCGTCAAAATTCACGATACCATCCTTAACATCTGGATGCTTGGCGGTCCACAAATGTGCGTTTTATTAGGAGTTTTCTTCCTCATATAACTTCTCTGTGCAATTGTTTACATCACATGAGTCGCATGCTCGTTGCCTCCTCTTCTATGAAAATAAAAATAAAATGTGGAAAAATTTTCCCCAATTTCTCCTTGCAACGGCCGCCATTAGTCTGCGCTAACATTGTCTCTTTCATATTTACGCATAGAAAAGATTACATCTGGCTTTTTACTTTACACGTATTAAACAACAGTCAAACGAAATTACATTTAATGAATAAAAAAAACTGTACTTACGAATGCAATAAGACGTTTTTGCTGTCTAACAGTTGCCATGTAATTTATGCACCACCTAAAAACACAGGAAAGCATTTTTGCCACGAATTACTAGAAGATTTACGCGCTGTAGCGAAGTGTAGCTGCGACGCGAGAGCGTGCCCGACTGAATGCGAGTCGGGCAATTACCCGACTTTCGTATTGCCATTTTAGAGCGAGTACGATGTATCTATTACTTTTAAAAACATCTTAGGATCTACACAGAAACGTTCAAACGTTAAAGGTCCGTAAAATTAGTTACATTGAATGCGTAGTATTCGCGTTAATATAGGAAATCATGAAGCGTTTACGTGCCATCATCTCCACGGTTCAATGCAACAGCGGATGTTTGATGTATAAAACGTGCGGCCGTACTTACTTGGCCCTTGCCATGAAGTCGTCGTAGAGAAAGCGCTGGCGTTTGGCGAGGCGGCACATGAGCACGTGCTCGTACTTGCGCGGCATCTGGCGCTCCACGTCCGCCTTCAGCCGCCGCAGCAGGAACGGCCGCAGCACCTCGTGCAGCCGCCGCACCTGCACGCACACGCACTCGCTGCTGACTGCCGTTGCTGACCATCAGCTCCTAGCTCCGAATCCCCAAATCAGCCATATGTAATTAGGGGCTCAGGAACTTGGCGATGTTTTTACCCCCCTACCTCGGAAAGCACGTAAAGCTGTAAGCATTTCACTGGATCTCCCTCCGGTCGTGTCGGATAACCGCCCCATCGGACTATGAGAATAAGGGAATAAGGAGTACAACTGTGCTTGCGCATACAATTGGATACTATAATCTTTCCCTGGTTAGTCTCCATTGACACTGGGCGCGTGACCGAAATCCTGTCTGGACAACATTCCTCACACTCTCACACTCGCAATCCTCATGCTGTGAGGAAGATTTGTCTTGTCATGCTTGGTAGACCAAAGACAATTGCAGCAGTAAAAGTTTATCCTTTGCTCAGGCTACTGCGCGTCGTCGGTCTGAGTAATAGATAGAAAGATTTTAACATAAACGAGATGATTATACCATCATCCATCCACACACACACAATAAAATATTTCCGAAATTATTATTTTTAAGATTAAGAGTGACAAACGAGCACTCACTCCACCTGATGGTAAGTGGATGCTGTGGTCCATAGACATCTACATTTATCCTCGACTAAGAATCAAGATACAGATGCGTTGACCTGAGGACTAAGATGGAATGCCTCATTTCCAGTAAAAAAGGTATCTGGATCTCCACAATCACCACACGAAACACAGCAGTATTAAGCCGCAATTCCACGCTAGTATTCCGCGAGAGCGTGGTCCTTCCCCGGTCGAGCTGACGCATTCGTGCTACAAGCATAATGTAGCTGCGGCGTGGCTTTTATAACACTTATAAGACGGAAACGGAGCAATAAATTCTCTTACGCCGCCGCCACACAGAACTATACTTCACTGATTAAAAGTAATTATTCATTCATTCATTACACCTCTTCGCAATCCCACAAGTGAATATAGAGGCCTCCCCCAAGGCCACAATACATGATCCTGAGCCACCTGCTTCCATCAACTTCCTGCATGCCTTACCAGGTCGTCACTCCTTCTAGTGGGGGGACGCCCTACACTTCGCCTGCCCGTACGAGACTGCCACTCGAGAACCTTTCTTCCCCATGGGTTGTCGCTTCTTCGAGCTTCAGCTTACTAATCTGTTGGGCTATGTCAGCCACTCTGGTTCTACTGCGGATATTGTCATTCCTAAATTTATCACACAGAGAAACTCTGAGCATAACCCTCTCCATAGCCCGCTGAGCGACTTTGAGCTTCCTCATACGGCCAGCAGTGAAAGACCACGTCTCTGATCATCATAGGTCATCGCTGGTAACACGCTGTTGGTTGTACAATCTAGTTTTCAGGTTTTGAGGTATACTTGACTAGAAGATGTCGTAATCTCCCGAACGCTGCCCAGCCGAGTTGAATCCGTCGATTGACCTCTCAGTCGTAGTTGGACTTTGCCTAGTCCAAACATTTGTCCCAGGTAAACATAGTTAACTACTTCGAGCTTAGTGCTCCCAACAACTACCGGTATAGGTGTGACATGAACATTACACATGACTTTTGTTTTATCCATGTTCACCTAAACCTATCTGTTGGGAGACACTATTGAGGTCATAGAGCACAATACTTTTCTTTTTTCTTCTTTTTGATTCTGTCATAAGGACTATATTGTCGGCAAATCGAAGGTGAGTGATGTACTCACCATTAACGATAATACCTTATCCTTTCTAGTCCAGGAGCTTGAAAACGTCTTCCAATGCAGCTGTGAAGAATTTCGGGGATAGTATGTTACACTTCTCTGTAGTTGGATAGGTTTCGTGCTCTGACTCTGTGCTGGGATAGCCATCGTAGCCCTACTGTACAAACGTTTCAGCACTTCGATATACCGACAGTCAACTTGGCACCGCTGAACGGACTGCAGCACCGCCCAAATCTCGACAGAATCAAAGGCTTTTTCATAGTCCACATACGCAAGACAAAGTGGCAGATTGTACTCTTCGGTCTTCTGTACAATTTACCAAAGGGTATGTGTATATGCTCTATGCTGCTAAAGCCTTTTCGGAAACCGGCATGTTTTGGAGGCTGGAAGTCGTCGAGTCTACGTGCGAGACGATTCGTAATGACTCTCGAAAACAGCGCGTAGACGCGGCTCAGAAGGAAAATCGGTCCGTTGTTCTTCAAGAAAACGTTGTCACCTTTCTTAAAGAATAAGATCACTGCACTTCTGCTCCACGCCTCCTCCGGAATAGGGACACCGTGAAGGATGGAATTGAAGAGCTACCTGGGTGGTTCTCATAGCCCAGAACATTGACTCGGACAGCGGTTAAATAGCTCGAAAACTACCAAAGAGGCTACATGATAATTTGTAACAATACCAAATCATAAACCATCATCATCATCATCCTTATCTTTATTGCCATTCCCTTTTTAATCAGGAAGGCTTGTAGGCCGCGAACCATGAGTGAGATAAGGCTGTAAGCGCTGCATTGACTAACAGTATTTACATCTCAGAAAATAGAATGAAGAGTTTCTGATGGACTTTAAGTATCGGTTATCCACCCGCTTTCAGAAACTCTGCTGTAATTCCATCTACGCCCGGGGACTTGACGTTTTTAAGGCGCTGGAGAGCCATTCTAATCTCGCTCAGACTAACGTCGGATAACACTTGCTCTTGGATCGTTACTCACACTTGCGTCATGCGTCATGCATTGCGTCGTGAATCTCTCAACCTCATTCAAAATATCAGGTGTCCCGGAAACGATGCTGCTACATTCGGTCTTTAGCTTCGACAGTTGGCTCTTTCTGGCAGACGGATCATTGGCAAAGACTTTGGAGCCTTGGTTCCGTTCGATAGCTTCTTCAATACGAGTGTATTGAAGTTGCGTAAGTCTCGCCGCATGCATTTGGAGATCTGTCTGTTCAGTGGCATGTATGCTGTCAAATCTGCTGAAGACTGCAGTTTTAACTCCCGTCTAACAGCCATAAGATTAAGAGTGTGGAGTAAGATGTAAAATTGGAGAGTTTTTGTGTTCTTCTGCTTCCACAAGCTTGTCATTCATATCGTCCACTTCAATACAGTATTTTAGGCACTGAAAACGATTCTGTAATTCGAGCTGAAAGTTTTTCGGGCTTTGTATTAGAGCATGAAGGGGACAGAGCGTTGACTACATTAGACGTAACCTCTCCAACTTGACGTTTAAGTTCAGTGTGCCTCTCACCATCCGGTAATCGCTGCCAGTTTTCACCCTTGCGATCACAGACACCACTGAACAGTTGTCGTCTGGTCGTCATTATGAAGTCAATCTCATTTTCTGTCGAACCGTTGGGGTCAACCAGATCCACTTTCTGTGGGGCGCCTTTTGGAAGAAATAGTTCATCATAAAGATTCTCTTTTTCTCCATAAAGTGGGCCAGCTGCTAGCCGCTACGGTTCCGTTGTCCTACTCCAAATTTCCCTAACTAAAGTTCACTGCTTTCATCGGGATGTGCCGAGGTTGGTGCGTAAACCTGTATGATCTTCAGCGAATACCGTTTTGTGATTCTGAGTATAAGGTGGCATCTCTCGTTGACACACTCCCAAACTTTATAACGTTCTTAAAGAGAGACTTGTAGACGATAAATCCGACATCTCCTTGGGACAGATACCCGTCCTCCCAGTGATGGAACAAGTTGCCGGATTCGAGGACTACCGTGTCCTCCCCCTTCTGTTCGAACCTGACTTAGTTCTCTAATATCCCAGTGTAACTTGTCTATCTCTTTTTCCAGCTCCAAGATCTTCTCGTCAGTCCTCAGGGTGCGTGCGTTATATGTTGCCAGGTCGAATTGCGTTAGGTGGCAGCCGAACCTCCACCGGAGATTCTTAACACCCGCTGCCCCGCCATTACCATGATCGCCACTGCAGCCAGGAACAGCAGGGCCGCCGGGGACTGAAGGCCGTTTATTCGTGTTTATTTGTGTGTTTCTAAATATTTATTATTATTAATCAAAATAATAATGATAATTTCAATTTATTGTTTGTGTCTCAAACCTGTTCGAAAATAACTTTTAATTTTCTCCCTTCTGTTCACTGTCAACATTTATGGATACTAGATGCAAATATAATAAAATTCTAAAATAGCAAGTAATATTATATAATGAAAAACAAATTTGTCATCACGCTTCATGCATCAAGTACTCAAAGCATAAAACGTTATGTACCAGTGCGTCGTTGTAGCACTGCGAGCCCTCCGCGATGCCGGCCACGGGGCTGAACCACTCTCGGAACTCCGAGTGCGAAGCGAACACGTCGGGCATCAGGAAGTGCATGAGCGACCACAGCTCCAGCAGGCTGTTCTGCAGCGGCGTGCCCGTCAGTAGCAGCCGCCTGCAACGCGCACGTTTCAACATTCACACTACTCCTTCTACTCCAAATTCAGAACATAATCAATGTCTCACTTAGTCATGTAGGCTCTCTGATGTCACTAATATGGGGTGCAATTTTAATATTTACGAAAAAAGCAAACACCATTTAAAAAATTTACATGTGAAAAAGTTGTAACAATTAACATTTATATATTTCAATCTTTGGTGCATTCACAATGAATAAAGGGCGGAAATATTAGACGGTCTTTAGGCATTCTTATCAGACAACCTATGGAGGGGTGAAAATTTTACATAGTCATAATCAATTAAATCACGCCACTTATAAATTTTACAAGTAATTACAATGATACATATTATGTACATACAGCAGTGTCTATAATACCAGTACACAAAATGAAAACCCTATCCGAGATACAAATCATTATTATATAAATACATTAGAAGGTATTTTTCAAAACAAATTATTTTTAGACTCAATTCCTTACTGAACCAAATATCAATTTCGATATGTTCATTAGAAAATTTATTTTGGAATGAACATAAGTAATAGGTTATTAATATTGTAATGATAATGGTTGAACTGAAAGTTTTGTATGCAAGCAAGTAGTTTATTGGCACTAATAAAAAAATTATTGCAGACTTACTAGATGCTCAGTGGTGTAGCAAAACTATTGTGAGGGAATTGATATGTCAAAAAGTTTAAAAAACATTAGGGACCACATGTAATAGTATAGTTCACCAATAAGCACTAGGGAGACAGAACATCAGATTAATCCCTACTTAAGAGCAATTTTGAATGCTAATAATCATGTGATCTTCAATAAGGTAGAAGCTCTAGTGCAACAGTCGGTTAGGACAGCTTGAGGGCTGACAAAGAAACAAGAACATCAAACTAACATTGAAATTTTCTGAAATATAGTAGGGGAAAAAATTGTGTAAAAAAAACTCACCTCTCTGTTTGAAAGTTTAGTAACATCTGCCACCTTTGTGATTTGAAGTTTTTAATGTTCTGTGCTTCGTCAAGAATAAGGTATTTCCACTTTTTTCTACGAAAACTTTGATGGTCCTGCACTACCAACTTATAAGAAGTTATACACACATGAAAAGAGTTTGCTTTCGTCCACCCGACACGTTTTAACTTTCTCTCTTTTATTGTCCCATAATATGTGAGAATCTTGAAGGCGGGGCACCACTTCTTGAACTCCATCTCCCAGTTGAGCACGACGGAGGTGGGCGCCACCACGAGGTGCGGGCCCCAGTCGCGGTGCTCTAGCGCCAGGTGCGCCAGCAGCGCGATGGTCTGGATGGTCTTGCCAAGCCCCATCTCGTCGGCCAGGATGCCGTTGAGGCCGCGCGCGTACATGGTGGCCAGCCAGTGCAGGCCCACGTGCTGGTACTCCCGCAGCGCGTGGCGCAGCAGGCGCGGCACCGGCGTGCCCACGGCCGTCTCCGACAGCGTGGTGCCCGTGGGCTGCAGCGACGCGGCCAGTGACGCCGCTGCCTCCACCTTCTGCTCGCCCACCTCCGCCGCTTCTGGCGCCGCCTCCGAGCTCTTCACCTTTTGTTCGCCATCGACTCCGACGTTCGGTTCGATTTCCATGAGCGCCTCGAGCGCCTCCGACGTAGACGTTTCATCGGACATCATACTTTGAGTATCATCATCCGAATCGTTCTCTTCCTCGTCGACGTCGTCCTCGTCATTTTTATCATCGTCCGTATCGCCGTCGACTTCGGTGACAGTCGAGGCGTCGGTATCGTCGACGAACCGGTCCGGAGGCGGGCCGGCGTAGCGTTTCAAGAGTTCGTCGAGACCAAGTTCCGCCTCGTCCTGCAGGGCGGCGACCTCCACCGCCGTGTCCTCGGGGCGCTCGGCGCGCTCCTGTTCCGCAATGGTGTCCTCGTCATCGGCGGAGTCGTCGTCGGGCCCGTAGTCGGAGGGCGGCGGCGAGTGCGCGGGCACGTAGCCGGGCGGCAGCAGGTCGCCGAGGTCGAGGTGCGACTCGCGGCGCAGCGCCTCCAGCTCGTCGCGGTGGTCAGCGGCGTCGTGCGCAGCCTCGCGCTCGGCGGCCGCGATGGTCTCCTCGTCATCGTCGGAGCAGCCGCGCGGCTGGAACTCGTCGTCGGAGGGCGGAGTGTCGGGCGCGGCCCGCGCATCCGCCGTGCGGTTCAGGTTGGCGGCCAGCTGCCGCGAGTAGCGTTCCGTGCGGTCCACGATGTAGCTCAGTTGTTCATCTAGTGCTTCCTTTCGCGCACGCTCCACACGCCGCACTCGTTTCCATTCTACCAACTAAAAAATAAATAGGTGCAATTAATTAAATAGTAAAATAAAATTGTAATATTAAAAAGTAGATAATTAATAGATATTGTTACCTTTTCAACATTAGACCAGAAAGTTCGAATTTCTTTAGCCGCAAATGCTGCAATTTTCTTCAGTTGCAGTTCTTGCGCTTTTTCAGCCTTCTGTGCGGCGAGAGCTTTGTCTTGGAAATATTTTTGGACCGCCCTTGCACACTGTAAATATCATATAAAACATTAACCAAATAAAGAGATGAATAAAAGAAATTTCCGATTTATTCAAATAATAATACCTTTTTGGCGGCTTGCTTCTTCCACTTGCGCTCGTGTGCAAAATCTTGGGCGAGCCAGGCCATCTCCTCAAGCAGGTAGTCCCAGTGCGTCTTGGGGCGCGGCGGCTCTAGCACACGCGGCAGGCGGCGCTCCGTCCACAGGCCGGCGCGTGCCAGCTCAGCCACTCGCGCCGCCACGTACGCCTCCTGCTTGGCCTTCTCCACCATCTCGTCCGCGGCGGACGCGGACGCCAAAGCTGCGGCCTTCCCCGGCGAGGCGGACGCAGTCGGCTCAGCGACAGGCGTTGGCGCAGGCGCAGGTGCAGGTGCAAGTGTAGGTGTAGGTGATGGTGTAGGCGCGAAAACGGGCGCCACTAATGGCGCCGAGGGGGGCGCGTGTGAGGGCACGAGCGCCTCGGCGGGAGGCGGCGCAAGTGCGGGTGCGGGCGAGAGCGAGGGGTCGGGCGGGGGCTCGGGCGGTGGCGGGGCGGCTGGCGGCGGGCGGCGCGCCTCGAGGAACGCGACGAGCTGCGGCGCGGGCGGCCGCTTTCGCCACGCCGCGTAATCCATCATGTTGCCGCCCGCCTGCAGGAAGTACAGCTCGCTCAGTTGCTCCGTGAACCTGCAACCGAGCGCGGCGCTAGAGCGGCGACGCGTCCCCCGACGCGCGATAATGGGGCCAAAAGGCCAGGTAGCTCACCTTTCTCGCAGGTTTTTCAGTCGCAGCAACTTGTACTCGAGTATCCGCTTGCGCAATGCGTGCGCATCTTCGGACAGGAGCTTGGGGCGCTTACGAGGCGGCTCGTCGGCGCCATTGAGCGCTGCTTCCGCCCCGCCTGCGCCCGTGCCGCCCCCGCCGCCACCCCCTCGCTCCACCCCCTGCATATCCAGAATATAAAAAAAATATGAATTAAGAGCCGTGGTAGCTCAAATGGTTAAGGCTAGCTGTAAATATAACAGAACGTGAGTAAACCGGGTTCGATCCCCGGCGGCACCAATGAAATTGTTAATTGCAATTTTAAGTGCTGATTTACCTGCATGTCTGTGAATAAGAAAAAAAAATATTTCGAAGACATGTGAAGTTCGCCAACACGCATTGGAGCAGCGCGGACACTTCCTTGCCCTAAAACCCTCTCAGAAATGAGGGGGAGGCTTGTGCCCAACAGTGGGACGTATATAGGCTGTAACTTTACTTTATGAATATGGATGAAACAATACTGATACCGATATAATCGGCAGACCGGTATATCGTTATTGTAGTAGTGTGGGCTCACGGTATCCACTAATGTTATATTTATTATAAATAGAACAGTATTAAACAGGACTTAGAACATAACGGTTGTCTCATTTTATAACAACATTACATGGCGACCCTGCCAATCAGTGCGCGCGCGACTCCGCTCGCCGCGTGCACCGGCTGACCACCGATAGTAAAATTATAAAAAATATATCAAAAAGATTTAATTATTAATTACGACAGTATAGATTTTAATTATTAATTATGACACATTCTCGGATTGACAAAATAAAAAGTCATGTATAATTTGTAAATAAATATTAAGAAAAGAAAAAAAACATAAGAAGTATAAAATCAAAAGACAAAGACGCATCAAAAAGGAGAAAAGAGGATGAGAGAAATAACTTTTTCAGTCTGGATAAGAAGAATATTGGTTGAGAAGATCTAAATTAAAGTGTACAGTGGTGTTCGCATGGGAAATTTTACATTATCAAGATATATACCCAAATTTTCAGAAACTTATAACAACCAAGCAAAACAAAAAGGAGATATTTATCAAAACTAGCCACTCAAATTCTTGATAATTTTATTATCAAGAATTTAATCGAGTGGCCAGTTTTTAGGACTGAATTTTTCATGTACTTCAGCTACAAGAAAACAAGAAGTACATTTTCAAGAAACATGAAAAAAAATTAAAGGGACTATAATGTGAAAAATATGCTTGATATATCTACAAAACAATTACTGTATAAAATGCAAATTATATGATTATATTTTTAAGGTTAATGATTTTAAATATTTATCTCTTTTAAAATTCTAATTAGATAAAATTAAAAATATAATAGCTTTAGTCACCAATCATATTTACATATACTATATCATATTGATGTTATACTTTTACAAAATGAATTTAAAATTGAATGTAGCAATCTATAATTAGAGGTACAAACTATTAGGAAAGATAAATTCACTTTATTCATCGTATCATTTTAATGCATTGTTAAAACTAGATACCATCATAGGACGTAAGAGAAAAACTGTTCCCATGAACATACTAAGAAATTTAAAACGAAGGTGTCACAAACCGCTTACACGGCTTGGATTGCAAGATATATTTCGATTCCTGTTGTTATGTTAAGGAGCATGATAACGTATTGTATTACTTTATTTGTTTGTTCTGTTGTTCTGTTCCCTATTTTAAAATTAAATGTAATATTTTTGGTTTGGTTAAGCAATATGTAAACGTCTATCATTAATAAATTGTGACGAAATTATTTACAAGATTGTGACCTAAACATTAATATATGACAGGGGATCGAGTCACCAAATGATAATGATATACTTATAATAACATATGAATAAATGATTGTATGAAATAAAATTGAATAAAATTAAAGTGCATGACTATATGAAGTAAATATAATATAATGCCACTATTGCAAATATACATTGTGTTGAAAAAAAATCGCGATCGTAATTTGAAGTTACGAAGTCTTCACTGACTTGACAAAAATAAAAGAAGCAAGAACCATCTTGTTTCTTAAGATCGATCTAAATGGACATCAATTTAAATGAGACTCAGAAAAAATACCTTTTTATTATTTTATTTACAGCGCTATTTTATTACATATTTTAGTTACTTTTGTTTTCGTAATTTTCATTAATATTTTATGTTAAGGTTGAAGATTATTTTATAGTATCTTTTGTAGTAGCTTATAATGTACTGTAATAAGACACAACTTTCTGTCTAAATTTTGGAAACCACTTTACATTTTGAATGAATTCCGGATCTACAATTCTTAGAAACATTAAGTTTCATCAGTATTGGATTTCTTTGTACTAAATAATAATTTGATGTATGTTGTAGTAATTATATATATTTTTGGTACAGTAATTGTAAAAAAAAAGTAATTTATACCATCTTTTTTTTTTCAAGATGCCGTGGGAGGTGAAGTGTGGGCTCACAGTATCCACTAATGTTATATTTATTATAAATTGAACAGTATTAAACAGGACTTGTAACATAACGGTTGTCTCATTTTGTAACAACATTACAGTATCATATCGGAACAATTATGTATCATTACATCTCTAATTATGAAGTTATTTTAAGATTTATATTCTATTGTTTTTAAGTTAATTTAATTATGAACATACTAAATAAAATTAAAATCTATTGATTTTATACCGAGCAACTCTGTACCCATAGAATATTTTAAATGTGTGCTATCTTTATATTAGTTTAGAAAATTACGGATGATTTAATTGATGGTTTGATTGATGAATTATACTGTGTAGTACAAGTAGCTGAAATTTTATTTTTTACAACTTAATCACAAGATGTCATTATTTTTCCACACCAAAGTTGTCGATGTAATAACCCAAATAGACCAACAAAAGTGGAGATGGACAGGTCACATGAAGACAACTTAAAACTCACAGCAGGACATCATTGGAGAAGGGTAGTGCGTGACAGGTTCCAGTGGAAAATGTTAGAGGAGGCCTATGCCAAGAGGCAAACTGACATTCGCTTCGGGACATATTATTACAAACAAGAACATGTCTAGTGACTTAACTGAGAAGTTCAGAATAAAAAGGCTTATTATTATTATTACATGGGAGTTTGATGACTGAGTAGAGGCAAAATGCTTGTGCACTTTCACAGTTTAATAAACGAAATCAAACAGTTTATGGCAATGTAAAAGGAAGGTTATCCACAGTTGACTGATCCCTCATGGCTTGCAGATTTGGGGTTCGCTGATATAACAATAAAATTGAATAATCTGAACCTGGAAATGCAAGGAAAAAGTCGTCATGATACGAAAATGGCTGGATCAGTGAATACATTCAAAGCTAAACTAAAACTATGGAAATGATAAATGTAAATTTGGAGCATTGTATGAGAACTGTTACTTTAAATTATGAGCCAGATTTTATCAAGTTATCGAAAGAAATGCAAGGCTAAGATCACACTAATAATTAGTGGCTAATTGTTGTCATAATTAATGACTTTGTATTTGACTGTATGTATGCCTCATGTAATAATCATCTTGTTTTAGTGTAATATTTTATTTGCGTTACCCATTCATGCGATCTTCAGGAGTAAATTATTTTAGAATAAGCCCTTAGACTGGATAAGGTTGCCGCCCCTGCTTTAGTGCATATGGAGACCGAGAATATTCAAACTTTGGTTTGAAGTGAGGCAAAAGGATAGCTAACATTTCTGCACATTTTTTTATTAGGATTGGTGGTATATCATCAATGCCACACCTATGTATACGTGGCAGAGTAGCACAAATGGGTCGTCTCGACCGGGGAAGGACCACGCTCTCACAGAATACCAGCGTGAAATAGTAGCTTAATGCTGCTGTATTTCGTATGGTGAGTGTAGAGAACCGGAGACCCTTTTTACTGGAAACGAGGCATTCCATCTCAGTCCTCACGGGTGACAACGCATCTGCATTTTGATTTTTAATGGAGGATAGATGTAGATGTCTATGGGCCGCAGCAACCACTTACCATCAGGTGGACTGTGTGCTCGTTTGTCACCCTATTCTATAAAAAAAAATATCTTTATAAATTGTATCCTATGTATTAATCTGATGTATAATCTATATTATTGTAGTTTCATTAAAATCCATTCAGTATTTTTTACGTGAAAGAGTAACAAACATCCATCCATCCATATTTACAAACTTTCGCGTTTATAATATCCTATTTACCCATTGACTCGGCTACCGATCTAATCAGATCATACAATACCTACCTTACGTCGGCTCTGGTACGGGTCGAATTAGATCAGGTCGGATCAGAAGTACTGCCTTATGAAAAAACTATTTTTTCCTTTAAAACAAAACCAAAGACAATATGCAATAGATAATAGTATCAAAGAGAAAGATATAACCTGTCAATGTTTCTTAGAAAAAAAATAAGAAATCACTCTGAACTTTCGGCGTTCCACGTGTCGTTTTGATGAAGGTGCTCCGTCTTTTTTATAGAATTTTATATTTGTGTCTGGACTAAAAACGAAAGTATTGTACTTTTTTATATTCCTTGTAATATAGTGAACACGTAGATATATAATTTGTGGTATAAAAAGTGAAAAGTAAATTGCCAAAAGTACTTCAAAATCTGGAAGACCCATTTTGGCGGTTGGGTCATAAATGTGTTATTTTGCAAATTCTCATTTATTTTTAGTGTAAAATGTAAGTAAAAATAGTTTTCTTACATATTTCAAATAACTTGACGTTGTATTTATTTCAAATTCACACATAATTATTTTTGAAATATTGTTCTAAATGTCACACAGATAAAATATTATTATTGTTTTTTTTTTTTTATTTTTTAATATTTTAATATTTTGGTATGAGTAACGAATGGAAACATATAAAACATAAAAATATACATATTTCCAAACATTTTCATATAAATTTCTCCAAAAACAAAAGTGTAGAATTCAAATTAGTAGTAATTTTGTCACTAAAATTGAAGTATATGCTACTACTATGCTATACAGGGTAATTTATGTATTTTATTACAATTTCTAGCAACCAAAAATAATTTTATTCGATAGTTTATACATTCAACAAGAAATCCTGTAAGTTTTATCCATAAATATTGTCTCAAAGTGAAAATATAGCAAAATTTGCAATATAGCAAAAAATTTTCTAACTTACAAATTTTCCCGCCATTAAGGTCCCGAGCGAACGGGAGTATAACATGTCGCGCGCTGTCAGAGCCTTGGGGTTAATATTATACTGAATTAACTTATAATGTATTAAACTGTACTATATTTAGGTATTACTTATCCTATAATCAAATAAACAAAGTAAAACAATTGTAATACAATTGAAATTAAAATAAAAAGTAATCTATATTTCTACTTAAATTATACTAAATAAAAATAATAATTACGCCTACCTACTATATATATGTAAGTAATAAATCTCTTCGAGAATCGAATTAGCTGTAAGAAAGGACGCAAACTGAACGTAACTGTCAATAACGTCTGCCCTCCGCATCTGCCCGCGTTGGGTCGCGCACCCGGCGATCGCACGTCGTTGCTTGGTCCACCCCCGCTTTGCGCTGGTGCTCCATTCATGTCAATCTTATTGTGATAACTTTTAAACTATTCGTCCAAATTACTTTGTGTAAAAGACAAAGTTCAATATTGAAAGCGACAAATGTATAAATTTTGATAATAACTTAAATAAATTAAATACTCTAAAATGATAATTATAAAAAAAGTATCAAATTTATGGCTCACTATTTTGGATATAATGCCTTCCACATGAAAGGTAGAAACCGCGGACTTTTATTTCGAACTACTTAAGACAAACAATCCCACCATATATTATCTTTGTGTAACTCCAACGGTTTAGGCAGTGCATGCCAAGATAGCTCTTAGAGAGAGAGAGATTTTTGCTGCCAGAGCAGCATCAAAGTATTTTTAATTATTTTTTAAAATATTGGTAAATGACTAATTAATTAAATAATCTCATGTTTTTGACGTTGCATCTGTCAATGTCATATTGATATACATATAGTACTGAATCGATCTAGTGAATCAATATTTCAACCTAGAGAATTAAATCAAATCTTTTTCTGTTATATTAAAAACTATATAATAATTTACAATTACTTGAATGTACCCCAACTCGTAAAGAATTACAGTTTTTCAATTCAATCATTCAATTGTATTCTGTACTTTATTGTATCTTTTGATATTGTAAATATAAACTCTTAATACAAATCAAAAAAAGACCTAACTCAATTTAATAATGTGTAAAATTAATCACTAGGGAATATTTTTGGCGGCGTAATACTGCTAAATATGGCAAAGATCCTTTCTTGCAAATGGTGGTAGTCATAAATTATGCTTATAAATAAAAGTAGTTAAAAAGTGAATATTTTGGTGTTATAATGAATGAATAGCGAGTGAAGCGAGCCTGGGGCGTGGGGCACCTCGACCATGACAGGTTAGGTTAGAAGGGGATGATGGGGCCGAGTGAGCTAGGGAAGTGAGCGAATAGGCCCCGCCATCCACTTTGTGAATATATTTTTATAAACCACTCAGAAGTAGGGGCTACGTTGACTGCACCACGTTGAGTGGAGTGGGGCTTCCGTCCCCCAACTGTCTCTCCCCATAAATTAGGTTAAAATTGTCATAAAAATTACAAAACATAACATCAAAATGAGATTTTTAAAAATTTATAAAAAAAAACTAAGCACGTCTGACAGGGGAAGTAGGGGGCGACTCTACAACTCCTCACCCTCCCCCCCACCCCCTAATTCACTTAATTATTAATATAAAATATATTCAATAGATCATACATGAATAAACTAAAGTAAGAATAATTAATTATTTTGTATGAAGGTTAAAACTTAGTTTTTATTATAATTTCCAAAATATTTAATATCAGAGGTAATAAATTAACATACTCCATTAATTATATAGTCTCCCGTTAGTGTGGGATAATCACAAAGGCGGAAAAGTGGCAACATTTAACCTAAATCGCAATATTTGGTAATTTTATTTAATTATTTTAGATTTTTATGTTTATATGAAAACATAAACTAAAACTCATGTGTGGGAATTGATCCCACTTGATTTATTATGTTTTTGTGACTTTGATTCACATTAGTTCACTGTGCATTTACATTATTTATTGTTGCGGATCATTTGTTTCAACTCTGTCGGCTTCACATTAAACACTGAACTGACGTTAGCTAGGCATAGGCTGTAGCCATATGTGCAGTGGCAACGCTTTGACGCGGTAATTACTAATCTAGTGTAATATATAAATCAATGGGAATGGCGGTCACAGTTATTAAAAAATCACACTTTTTTCCCGAGTCTATTTGCTTCTTACGACACCCACAGGATGATAGGTATACTCATACACTGCTACTTATTTTTTTTTTAACAAACTAAGTTAAAAAATACTTTCTAACTTCTCAAAACATTTTATTTATCGCTTGTCATTTCTCTAGAGCTCACTTGACCTTCATACAAGTAGTTAGATAAGCAAACATTAATAGCAAAATGACTAAGTTATATTTACCATCATTAAACAAATATCATTCTTGACTTGGCCTACTATACTCTCTTTAGCTTGACCATAGGTCTGACTTGGTCCAATAAAATGTAGGATCCTGAGCAGTTAAATTAATAAATTACTAAATAATAACTATCATCACTAACAAATTTATCACTGTTGTGTTTTAATAGTGTGACAATAATGATATAATCATACAGCAAGCTTCTAACAGAATAAATATAATTTCAGAATTCAGATTTACAAAACAAAAACAGAGATACTATTAAAATTGATAATTGAATTTGATGGCAATGCAGTCCCATATGGATGGGCAGTTTGGAATCCAATATGGCTGAAAGTTTTATTATGGCAGCCTTTCATTGTATGGCACAAAGACCACAGCTGTAAAAGTGATGAGAAATAAGTTTACAGGTGAACCTGCTGGTTATGCATTGTCCAATTTCAGACAAATGAAGTAGCGATTGATGCAATGCACAATCGCTACTTCATTTGTCTGAACTGAATGGAAAACCAAAACTGGGCACATTTCCCATCTTAAGATTTAGGGTTAACACAGCTTCTAGGGAGGCGCAAGTTAACATGCAGCAAGAAAGAGAATTTTCTGTATGGGTTGGAGATTTAAGTCCTGAAGTGGATGATTACTCACTGTACAGAGTATCTGCATCTAAGTACTGATCTATTAATACTGCTAAGGTAATTTTGGACAGCTCAGGATATACAAAAGGCTACGGTTTTGTCCACTTTGGCAATGAAGAAGAGTAACAAAACGCCTTGTATGCTATGAATGGTTATACCGGCCTTGGTTCCAACCCTCTGAAAATATGCACAGCTGTGCCAAAGCCTAAAGGTGCTACCACTAACACTAACAGCCAATGCAACATATAGCAGCGGGACGGATTATAACCAATATTATGATCCATCTGCATATTGGCAAAATTATTCAGCATGCTCAGGGTACTATGGTCAAGAGGATCAGAATGTTGCTGTTGTTCCCGCCACGGTTATGCCCTGATGATTTAGCACTTGTTGAACACAAGAAAACCATAGACATGGATTTAATGAATCAAGAGTTTTTAGAACCAGAGTTATCTTTATGGGACAGTCTAGAAGCATCACAGTGGTTCCCAAATTAAATGATTGAAGCACATTATTGATTGATTTACTTAATACAGATGAACTATATTAGGTATTGGCAATAATGTCATAAAGCATTCTGAAACATTTAAAATTGTTGTCCTTTGATGTAAACAAAACATGTAATATTACATGATATGCAAAATCAAATCATTACAATTCATATTGTTTGTTTATACCAATCACCTGTATACCTACACACACTATCTATGTAATATCTATAAATTTAAAAATGTATCATATTTGCTGGATAACAGTAACCATTTTTGCAAAATTTAGAGAAATCATATGTAAGAACCAAAGGCACTATATATCATTTATTCACAATGCTAGAATGAAAATTAAAAAACATCAAACAAAAAATAAACATTATATTTTGACATACCATGAGTGGGAGAGCTGCACCGGCTGCACGACGGGAAAAGTTATCATCGCCACCACTCATTATGCGACATCGCGAGAAATTAGACTTATTCTTATAATTTCTTAACGGTCTTTGTCGAACACAAGAGCACTGCACTGCACTGCACTTCACTAGGTTTTAAATACTAAACAGCTTGATTGGTAAATTGTACAAAATTCTGTTAATTCGAAGACTTTTTAAACAACCCTATAAATTGAATACTTCTAGCACCTAAATTAGACCGACACATGTGAAAGGATGCAAGTAATGATACATGGTTGGATTATCAACAAACGCACCAAAAACCGCCACAATTGCTTCTGACAAATATACACTGGCAGCCATATTGTCTACCATTTACTTTACTAGGCGTCGATAATACAAATGTCGCCTAATCGCAAACTTTAACGATGTCACTTATTCATCATATAGTACTTATAATAAAATAAGGCTTATTACTATAAAATTAATAAAGATATCTTGTTATTTTAATCAGATAAACCAAAAATACAATCTTCAAAGTTTGATTTACGTAGGTTAGTCTTGCCAGCATAATTATTACGATTTACAATTTACCTAGCCCAGGGAGCAGTTGTTGTTATGGTATAAATCTGAGCTGCCGTATGTCAGTGTCCGGTTTGCCGTAATTTAACGTAAACATAACTTAGGTATTTCATTATTTAATTTAAAAAAAATCTAGTCGTCATTTTTTTCTCTTTCGCAAAGGTTTCTTTTTATGTTGGTAGTTTGCACACGGTGCACTATCTACAGGTACAGATAATTATCCACAGGAGCAATCCTGATTCTCCACAATATGGAGCACTGGCTATGTGCTCTGACTTTGCCTTGGCAATGACTCTTTTGAAGGACGTAGAGGCGGAATTATACTTCTTTTTTAGAGCGCTGGTGTTTACATCCCGGGACGCTGATGCGTTAGCCCAGGCTTGGTAGCACTCCTGCTTATAGCATGATGCTATTATACAGGAGCGACCAAACCATGGCTGAGATTTGCCTCCAATGGGCGGGCACCACATAGGAAGGAATAAAAAGTTCTATACCCTGAAGTACCACATCAGAGACAGAATCCGCAACAACGTTGGGATCGTCCGGCGAGAAGCAAACCCGCCCCCCAAGGGTAGGATGCAAAGAAAGACCGCATCCCATCCCAATCGGCTGACCTATAGTGCCAAACACGACGGCAGCCTGCAGAATGCAATTGCGATTTCAGCGCGAGTGGCACCACACTCTGGACAAGACAATGGTAGCAGGAGCACTTACAGGAGCAATCCTGAGTCTCCCAATAATATGCCAGCGCAACTTGTCTACCTCTTCTTCCAAATCTAGTATCTTCTCGTCAGTCCTCAGGGTGCGTGCGTTATATGTTGCCAGGGCGAGTCGTCGTAGGTGGCAACCGAACCTCCACCGGAGATTCTTAGCACCCCCTGCCCCGCCGTTACCATGGTCGCCACCATAGCCAGGAATAGCGGGGCCGCCGGGGACTGGGGGCCGTTTGTTTGCGTCGTTACTCATGGGGGGATATTTGGGGTAGTGGATATTCTCAACCGCCACTACACGGCAGATTGCTTATATAGGTGAAAATAATTAATAATAATTAAAATCGCAATATGTTGTTTATCTTAAACTACACACTGATTGGTCGTATTCACAGTGTGGCCGAAGTAGGAAAAGGGGAGATCTCCCGCCGGGCAAGGTGTTCTGCCCGGGGACCGACGACACTCCGTGTGATAGTTCGGAGATGTTCTATATATGCTGTTTATGATTCGGAATGTTGATAGCGTGATTTAGGCTTCGGTGTATTTCGCTTGTGGCGCGACGACAGCGCCACTACACACAGCGAACACAATACATGCGCAAGCGGCCATTGAACTCCGCCCATGTCGCCGTCGAAGAGAACAATAGGTACACAGGCGGCCATCGAACTCTGCTGGCGCTACGACCAATGGGAACGCATGCGCCCTAATGAGCGGGCGTTGCTTAGCGATGACGTAGAATATCGTACGATGTATGACGTAGGGGTGGAGTGATATTCCCCCGAACGAGTTCTCGCCTTGTCGTGGCGGGGGGGCTTAGAAGCCGTGGCTTGGTCACCCACGGCGAAACAAAGAGGAACCCATATGGCTGGTCCGAGGTGGAGGGCCGGCCCGAGGTGGCCACTCCGAGTGGGCTTGGGAAGCCCACTTCGGATGTGTGTTGGTGGACTGCGGTGAGAGGTGTGTCCTCCCCACCTACCGCTGCAGCCGAGGTAGAGTCGCGGAGGAAGAGGTGTGTTGGTATGGCGATGCGCCACTCGCCCTATCCTCCGCGACTCAAACGGGGCCGCACCGTTGATGCGGTGGTGGTGGGGCTGCGGGGGGAGAGGATTGTCGGTATTGCGAGGCGCCGCTCTCCCTACCCTCCGCAGCCGAATCTTGGTTGGCGGCGGAGCCATAGACCAGATCCGCCGCTGGGGTCGGGAAGGCTAAGTGCTCGTTTTTCCTGGCCCCATGGCCTTTGTGCATCGGACGCGGGGGCGTCTGTTGCACAGACGTAATTGGAGGCCGTGGAGGAAGGCGCGCCATGTGTTCTGGTGCGCCTTACCTGTGAAGGAGAACGGGGAGAAATTTTCCTCTCCCGAGGAGGTGCTGCCATGGGGCGGCAGGCGCTAATAGGGCCGCGGATGTTTGCGAAAGCGTTCCCGTAGCCCTGCCAATATGCGACAAAGGTGGAACACCATAGGGTTTTAGTCGGTGCGAGTCCGACATAACCCGACCTTGCCCCCGCGAGGCGGGTATGCGTAGGCATTTCCCCTGTACAAAAAAAAAGGGTGGAGTGATGTTTAGGTCCGTTCTAGCTACTAATTTACTCACCACAGTGTAATTCGATGATTACAACTGGAACTCCTAGACTAATAGAACTAGGTGTGCCGAGTTTGGGTTCGTTTTGGTAGTTATGATGAGACCTTACCACAGGACTTGATGGAGTGACCTGAAGGTGTAATTCGATGATTACAACTGGAACTCCTAGACTAATAGAACTAGGTGTGCCGAGTTTGGGTTCATTTTGGAAGTTATTATGAGACTTTACCTCCGGATTTGATGGAGTGACCTGAAGGTTTAATTGGGTGATTTCAACTGGAACTCCTAGACTAGATTGAACTAGGTGTGCCGAGTTTGGGTTCGTTTTGTTAGTTACGATGAGACCTTACTACCGGAATTGATGGAGTGACTTGAAGGTGTAATTCGATGATTACAACTGGAACTCCTAGACTAGTAGAACTAGGTGTGCTGAGTTTGGGCTCCGTTTCGTTAGTTATGATGAGTCCATACCTCCGGACTTGATAGAGTGACCTGAAGGTTTAATTGGGTGATTACAACTGGAACTCCCAGACTAGATAGAACTAGGTGTGCCGAGTTTGGGTTCATTTTGGTAGTTATGATGAGACCTTACCTCCGGACTTGATGGAGTGACTTGAAGGTGTAATTCGATGATTACAACTGGAAATCCTAGACTAGTATAACTAGTTGTGCCGAGTTTGGGTTCATTTTCGTAGTTATTATGAGACTTTACCTCCGGACTTTATGGAGTGACTGGAAGGTGTAATTGGGCGATTTCAACTGGAACTCCTAGACTAGATTGAACTAGGTGTGCCGAGTTTGGGTTCATTTTGGTAGTTGTGATAAGAGCTTACCTCCGGACTTGATGGAGTGACCTGAAGGTGTAATTCGATGATTACAACTGGAACTCCTAGACTAGATTGAACTAGGTGTGCCGAGTTTGGGTTCATTTTGGTAGTTATGATGAGAGCTTACCTCCGGACTTGATGGAGTGACTTGAAGGTGTAATTCGATGATTACAACTGGAACTCCTAGACTAGAATGAACTAGGTGTGCCGAGTTTGGGTTCATTTGATAGTTGTGATGAGAGCTTACCTCCGGACTTGATGGAGTGACCTGAAGGTTTAATTGGGTGATTACTGCTGGATCTCCCAGACTAGATAGAACTAGGTGTGCCGAGTTTGGGCTCATTTTGGTAGTTATGATGAGAGCTTACCTCCGGACTTGATGGAGTGACTGGAAGGTGTAATTCGATGAATACAACTGGAACTCCTAGACTAGAATGAACTAGGTGTGCCGAGTTTGGGTTCATTTGATAGTTGTGATGAGAGCTTACCTCCGGACTTGATGGAGTGACCTGAAGGTTTAATTGGGTGATTACTGCTGGAACTCCCAGACTAGATAGAACTAGGTGTGCCGAGTTTGGGCTCATTTTGGTAGTTATGATGAGAGTTTACATCCGGACTTGATGGAGTGACTTGAAGGTGTAATTCGATGATTACAACTGGAACTCCTAGATTAGTAGAACGAGGTGTACCGTGTTTGGGTTCGTTTTGTTAGTTACGATGAGACCTTACCACTGGAATTGATGGAGTGACCTTTAGGTGTAATTCGGTGATTACAACTGGAACTCCTAGACCTTAGTAGAACTAGGTGTACCGTGTTTGGGTTCGTTTTGTTTGTTACGATGAGACCTTACCACCGGACTTGATGGAGTGACCTTTAGGTGTAATTCGGTGATTACAACTGGAACTCCTAGACCTGTAGAACTAGGTGTGCCGAGTTTGGGTTCGTTTTGTTTGTTACGATGAGACCTTACCACCGAACTTGATGGAGTGACCTGAAGCTGTAATTCAATGATTACAACTGGAACTCCTAGACTACTAGAACTAGGTGTGCCGAGTTTGGGCTCCGTTTTGTTAGTTATGACGAGTCCTTACCTCCGGACTTGATGGAGTGACCTGAAGGTTTAATTGGGTGATTACAACTGGAACTCCTAGACTAGTAGAACTAGGTGTGCCGAGTTTGGGTTCGTTTTTGTAGTTATGATGAGACCTTACCACCGGACTTGATGGAGTTACCTGAAGGTGTAATTCGATGATTACAACTGGAAATCCTAGACTATTATAACTAGTTGTGCCGAGTTTGCGTTCATTTTCGTAGTTATTATGAGACTTTACCTCCGGACTTGATGGAGTGACTGGAAGG